CGTATCTAGGCCATGGGGCAAACCAGCCCTGGGTCGAACGGCCACTTGTCAAAGGATGATAAATTTTGGAACAGAACTCAGCTATCTGAAACCTAACCTCAGATAAGGGGAATGTAAAATTACGTAATTTAACGATGCCCAGAAGTAAGTTTTGATCCGCGGTCTGGTGGTGCACGGCAGGTTCTATGCAAGGCCAGAGGACGACAAAACCGAGTGGTTCACGGCTGATTAGTGGAAGTCCGGAGAGATCCAAGGCATTCAATTCAGGGCTTATTGGTGCACAAAATTGGTGGTGCACGGCTGCGCTCCCGCCAGCTCTTCTGCTCTACCGGTTTCTGTGTCTGCAACAAAAACAGTGCCAAAAACTGCTGATAACTCCTTACAAGCAACCAAGACAATCTTAGGCTGACCCATATGATCCATCATTACGAGTTGCTGACATGTCGCTGATTCAAACTACATTCTGGAAACCTATAACTCGATAGCATTAACTGACCATATGGCTTTGCCTGACTTGGAGCCTGGAGGATGCAGTGGTGCTATTTCTGATAAGGTGGGTGAAGTGGGTGGGTGCACTGCAACTTATCCACGCAATGACATTAAGAACAGGCTAGATAAAGCTATGGAAAAATATATGTTCAGACTTGAAATGCCTACCGTAGCACCATATCAAACCCGGTGGAAATATAGTAGCTATTTCAAACTATTGTCAGTCCTGAAAAGATCCAGTAAAATGACACAATTTTAGATCTTCTGTGAACAAGTCACAAAAGTATGAATCAGCAACAGGCCATGCTGCCACATCAGGCCTAATCTTCAGCGCTGACATGTGACATAAAACCAACATTGTCATGTTATGTTATGTTAAGTAATTCTTCAATGGTGGGTAAAGTAATTACTTAATTTTTGATGGTTTTACCTGTTTAAATGGCCTCAGTCAGCTCCCAATTGACTCAGATGTAGACCCAATTGACCCATCACCGACTGTACGTTGGCAATATTCATAGTAAAAAAATTTACTATATAGAGACTCGCTGCATTAAAGCATATAAAAATTCACTCATGATCAGTGTGTTACTGCAGATTTTTATACCTAGGATGTGCTGCAGTTTGTAACCTGTGAAATACATGTATTTATTGACGTCATACATTTATTATTATTATTCTACCACGTATTACGTAAGATAGAATACTCAACTTCCGGGCAGCGATACGTTGTCTAGGCGCCTGTAGTTGGTGTTAGCCTGCTCTTTTGTTTCGGGTCAGCGCCAGTTGTCCGGTAATCTTCTTGCTGCAACGCTAATCTTGATTACCTATAGCATTGAATTATCTTCCGCGGCCTCTCATCTTGATGATGATTTCTTGAATATGGCACCCCTAATTCACTTCGTCGGCATTCGCCTCGAGTGTAATATGTGATGAACTTTTTGTATGGATGGCAGTTGTGACCGCTGCCAGCATCATACTTTCTTCGCTCTACGCTCTTCGCTCTTCGATGTGATGCATACGATCTTCGCTCTTCTGATGTGATGAATACGATCTTTGCTCTTCTGATGTGATGAATACGATCTTCGCTCTTCTGATGTGATGAATACGATCTTTGCTCTTCTGATGTGATGAATACGATCTTCGCTCTTCTGATGTGATGAATACGATCTTCGCTCATCTGACGTGATGAATGTTCGTCTTCTAAGATTTTTATATTCAGCGTTCGGAGAATATATTCACAGCGCTTTTAGTTAGGAAGACGTTCAATATTTATGAAGAATTGTAGACATCATTTTATTGAAGAAGAAATCTATTATCGCGATTCTTCTTTTTATTATATATGTAACGGATATATCTCAGACACCCACGTTTTACGCATGGTGACATTTCTACCTGTGCAATTTGTATACGACGACGTTGTAGACGATGTTGTAGACGTTCTTCTTTGAAGTTTTTGTCAGGCTTCTTCTTCTTCACTATCATTCTTAGCATAGTGGCAAACCAGAGATTTTTTAGAATCAGTGCATTTTTAATTTCCTCAATTACTCAATATTTAAACCAATTTCTTATGTATGATAATGCTGGTATCCATGATACTTTACTCGAGTTTACTGGTCTACTTATAGTAATCTAAATTGAAGTTGTGTGAGAGTCTAAAAAACTGTCTGCTTTGCCACTATGATTCTTAGCACTCTCTCGAATAATCATTTTCACAATATTCAAAGTCAATTTTCACTGCCACTTTATCACACAGTTGGGCGCCAGATTATCAGGATGTGATTTGCTCTGACTGGCCCGATAATATATAACTATCTCAAAGTTCAGTATTGATTAATAACCGGATGATCTTCTTAGGTTTGTTTGAGTTGAGGGTCCAAGGCTTTGTATCTAAGGTGTGAATAAGTGGCAGGTTGATTGAGAGGCTAGTTGTCTAATAATATATTTACGAACTAGATAGGAATACAAGGAAGCTTGGTGGTTATTACACAAGGTAGGTTTTAGATGGTTACTCTAAAGACGGGGGCTACTTGACGCCAGAGTCTGGCCGTGATCGTGCGGACTACATGATGATGGCTGTACTACGTCTCGCCTCTGACTGCCTAAGACTGACTGAAGGTCCGCTCGGGGAGCTTATATAGGCATGCTATGGTGACGTCACGGAAGTGACGCAGTAACTGCTAACACAAGTAAGGGAGTTACGGTAGACAGCCTGACAAGTGAGAGCCTGCTGACTTCTGCAAGTTCTGCTCAGAGAACTGCAGGTACTAAAGCCACTAACCTTGGAAACCTGGTCAAGCCCATCCGGGAGTCAGAGCTTGCTGTCTCGAGCTTGTTTTGGGAAGTTATTATCATAGAGCCAGTTGCTTGTGCCCATCCAATTGATAAATTCTCAAATTATCTGACTCTGAGTAAGGCTCTCGCTGACTCACCTTTTGGCAAAGCAGGCATTGCTGGATTCAGCAAAAATCTTGGATGAAAAATTCTTGTTGTCACTTTAAGCTTTAAGAGGGTCCCACTCAAAGTCAAAGGTAACAATAAGAATTTTAAAGTAAAGTGTCATCTTGCTGTCAATTTTGTAAGATCTGTTCTAGTCATTGGCCCACTTGGTGAAGATGTATTGAAACTTGTATGAAGACCTGCTTGAGGCTTTCATTCTGGCAGGGCACATGGCACAGCAATGCCACTGCAGAAACCAGGAAGAATTCTAGAAAGGAAAGATTAAATATTAAATATATCAATGTTCAAGATCACTTTCAACACAAGCACACTGCTGGCCTTTCTTCAACTTGGGTTGCTGGGTTGGGTGTCAGTGCTTCCAAGTAAGCTCCTACATTGCCAAGCCTTGGCATTGGTTTTAATACCAAAAATTTAACCACAGTGCCACTAGTTGCAAAAATGCCCCACACTGTGTTGCATGCAGCGCCAGTGGCACCATAATGTGAAAGACTGTTCAGCACTAGGCAGCCCTCTCTGTTGCAACCGTAGCAGCAAGCACACTGCTAACAATGGGGGATGTAGGTTGATGAACAAGGCCCAGGCAGTGGTGAGAAACAGGGTTGAGCAGACAACATAGAGTCTCTTATCAAGATGCCCTGAGGATGGTGAAGCAGACACCTAAAAAAAATGTTCAGCAACTCAATTTTGCCTCAAGTTCTGGTACAAATTTCTCTGTCTCCTCAGTCTCCTACTCCTAATGCTGAAGTCAGAACCTGGGCTCAAAAAGTTAAACCTACACAGCCTCAGGCTGCCAATACTGTGAAAACACCACACCACTGGAACATGACCCTGCAAGTTGCAACTCCTACTTTGCAGTTTGCAGGGTCTTGCTGTAACCAAATTTATTGAACTTGTGTCGAAGATTATTGCCTTTTGTACCAAAACTGATAACTCAGATATAACAAAAATTGTCACTGAACTAACCAGAGAGACCCTGCAATTAAATTGCTCCCAACCTGACTCCACTGCAGACCCCATTTGTCCAGATTCAACTCCATACCAGGTCCCCAACACCATAACTTTCTTTATCCCTGTCAGCCAACCTTACTCAGCCAGTCCTCCTGAGGCCACAGTTGCAGACATGACTGAGGACCTCGTTGAGACTTGAGCCATCTCCTGTCATTGGAAAAATGGCAGGGAAACAGCCCAGAATGCAGAAATGGCAGAGGACCTCAACCTCATTGAGCCATCTCCTATCATTGGAAAAAAACATCAGGAAAGCAGACTAAAGATAAAGTTAACACTTTTTTAGTGTTAGTTAACACCATTTTTCCAATGACATCAGGATCCATACCTGTCATGGAAAACCTGGAAAATCATGGAATTTGATATTTCATTTTTCAGGCCTGGAAAGTCAATTGATTTCATTTTAGTTCATGGAAAGTCATGGAATTTTCAAATAAAAGAAGAAAAAATATAATTCTGTACTCACTGCAGTGAGTGACAGAGAGCGCATTTTCTTGTAGACGAAAACTTGAGGTCACAGACCGACAGACACACAGACGTACGGACAAACATGGCGAGCACAATAGTGCATTTTTTCCATAAATGAGAAAATGCACTAAAAAAGAAGTGTTTGTTTTCTGTGCTACATGTGTTTATGCAGTCTCTTGTTTCCTGCATTCTGATTGGTATAGTCTTTTGTTTCATGCATTCTGATTGGATCTCCAATCACGTGAGCTTGGTCACCAAGCTCAATTGCATTAGACAACTTTTTGATCTGCAGTGGCAAAGTCACCAAGATTTTATCTTCAACCCAAATCTGTCTCAAACTTGGAAAAAAGTACATTGTAAAAAATTCTGGGAATTAATTAAACCTACGGTATCTTTGAAGACATTTGTGTGAAAATTTGTGTTGATTGATATCACCACTAAACTGGAAGATTATACTTGAAGGAGGACATTTCTTTTATAAATTCTTCTCAAGTCTGTCTTATTGTGTGTCATTGGATAAATATAAAATAAATATTAGTTAAAAGACACTTTAAGTAATTTTCTTTTTTTCTTCTTTGTGCAGGTGTTCTGTCATATAGCTATTAACTTTACCCTGAGGAAGCTGTATGTGGTGAAAGTGATTTATATTACATGTGATATTATTCAAGTTTTATAATGGCCTCAGATGAAAAAGCACTCAGAATTCCAGCCATCCTGCTACCATCCTACAATGCATTCATGAGTAAGAATTTATGTATCTACTAGTGTCTGACATAATTTGCTCACAAATAATATATAATGTAATTTATTTATATCATGCTCTGTCATGCTAAAGGAACTTGGTAATTAATCAGTGCCCTGAAATATATATGTTTTTTTTTACAAAATTATATATATATACATATTGTTTTAAATGTAAAGATGTTTCCAGAATGTGATACAAGATTGGTTTTCACCATCAATCTCTCATCTTCCCACTCCACTAAAGCAGAGGTGTAACTGCAAGAGGTAAAAGTTACTGAGGAGCAAGTTTATGATCCGCTTAAAGAGCTTAACCCTTCAGAAGCACAGTGCCTAGATGGCATTCATCCCAGACTTAAGAGAAGCAAGCAACGAGCTATCTAAGCCATTGTCTATACCAGTGGTTCCCAAAGTGGGCAATATTGCCCCTCTGAGGGCAGTGGAAAGATTTTGGGGGAAGAAGAGGGCGGTGGGGGGGCGGTAGTCCAAATTCAATGTCAGAAGTTCAAACGTTTTTTTGACGATTTGTAAACACCACGTGCAGCACATGACTCCCAGCGATGTTTTTTTTTTCACCCAGATCCCATGGGTTTACGTCTCCTACAAATTAACAGCCGGTCTCACGGCCAATTCCCAAATTCAATGATCAAGGAAAATCTCTCAAACTAATGAACTTAACTTGATGAAACTTGGTACACGTATTCATTAGGACCTAACAATAATGTTTTTCTTGTGAAAATTGTTTGAATTTTGCCATTGTTTGTTTTTGTCATATTTATATGACAATACAGGCTGAAATTCATAGTGATCAAATAATTTCTTCCAAACTACTGAACAGATTTGAACAAGATTTTGAATTTACAGTCCTAACTACCAAATGGTAATGTTTAGCCCGTGAAAAATTTTTTTGATTGTGCCTTCGTTCCCAAATTTTTTTTTTATTTCAACTTCATTCGTGATTTAAACAATAATACGTGCTTAAATTTGCAGTAATCAAGAAATTTTGTCCAAATTACTGAACAGATTTGAACACAATTTAGTTTTTAAATACCTAACCTAAGTAATGGTGATGTTTACAATTTTTTCATTTTGCCTTCGTTTGCAAGTTATACTGCTACCGGTATATGTATAAAGCTCTTGGTTTCCTTCTATATATCTGTATAACTTGCGAACGAGAGCAAAATGGAAAAATTGTTACGAGCTAAACATCACTGTTGAGAGGTTAGGTATTTAAATACAAAGTTTCATTGCAATCTGTTCTGTAGTTTAGAAGAAATTTCTTGATCGCTGACAAATTACCCGGCGATACGGGCCTAATATAAGGAAGTGTGAAATCAAGAATGACAGTGAAATGGAAAAAAACTTGCTAACAAAGGTAAAAAAAAATTTTATAAGCAAAAAAATCACCGTTTGGTTGTTAGGAATGTATATTCAGAATTTTGTTCAAATCTGTTCAATAGTTTGGAAGAAATTCTTTGATCACTGCGAATTTCAGCCTGCTTCGCAATATACACGTAACTCACAAATGAAGGTGAAATTAAAAAAATTTACAAGCTAAACATCACCGTTAGGTTCTGATGAATAAGTGTTCCAAGTTTCATAAAGCTGCATCCATTAGTTTGGGAGATATTACTTGATAATTGAATTTGGAGATTGATCGTGAGACCAGCCACGATGTAGGCGGAGAGGTTTCGTCTACCCACCACAAACAATCAACAACCTACCTCTCCTGACATCTCCACAGCCTCTGACACTATAGCAAACAACATTACCTGGACTACACTGACAGAACTTTCATCAGACCACCTGCCTATACTACTAGACTATAGAACAAAAACAAACTTCCGACTACAACACCAAACAAAAACATACACTAACTACCACAAAGCTGACTGGGCCTCCTTCTCAACTGAAATAGAATCGGCACTAGAAAACGTAGCAGACCCAACTGACATACAC